CCGGGGAGGGGGGGTATGTTTCTCGCTCTGGATCTTGGACCGGACACCAGCCCCTGTTTTCTTTTCTGCTGCCTTTCTCTCTCGTAGTGGGGCTGGGAGCGCATTATATATAGGCGCTCGCGTCGCGCGCGCTGGCGGGCTCGGGGCTTGGAGGGAGGAGAGCGAAGGGTAGCTAACCCAGAGCGGCAGAGGGAGCGCGCGGTCGTGCGTGCGAGGGCTGGGAAACCACGAGCGCGACGTGGAATCATCCCCGCGCCGGCCACACGTGTTCCATACAAGCATCCTGCGCACGCTGAATAGAAAAGGGCGGGCGAGCGAGCTGCGCGGGTGCGGGGCCGAGGCTTCGGCGCAGGTGAGGTGCCGGTGCCGGTGCTGGTGCAGCTGAAGCGCGGGGATGGGTTTCTGTGGCTGGTGATTCGGACAACAAAGCCCCCCGGTACACCCTCAATAAAACCCAGGGGGACGGGCGGGGCCGTCGGGTGGTTCGTCGGGCGGACCCGCCGCCCTGTTTCATCGTTTTAATTGGTGTTTGTAGGTGCATCTTGATGAAAACCGGTGAGCCCCGACAATTCGACGCATTGGTACGCCAAGCATCGTTTGTTCATAACCAGTGTTATGTTAGTCCAGAGAACATGGGATGTAGTAACAAAAATTACACTTCCTAGTGTATAACAAAGCGCTTAGAGCATCTACAGCCGAAGACATCAAATCCGGACCTCTCAAACGCCCGCATCCGTGGGCAATGACCGGGCACTTCTCATTTAGGTGCGTCCACACCTGCGTATCTCAATTTTGATCCTTTATATCCATGCAACACATGCACATTAAAAAAAAACCTATGTGGATCATCGAACTAGCACAAAATCTAGTTAAAACGGGCATAATTGTAGCATAAACGATCATCGGACAACCAAAAGATGCAGTTTCAATCGAACAGTACCCCAAACATGCGATATTTTTTTAAACAACAAGGAAGGGCGGAGAAAATCACCATTTCCTTGCCACCCCCTTCCCCCTTGCGGTCGGCGGTGCTGCTTTGGCTTTCGGGGTATGCATTGGCCGCCGGAAGGTCGTTGTCAGTGCTTGAGTCTTCGTAGTCGTTGGACAACTCCATGTGACCCCCGGCAAGCCTTTGGAGTAAGCGTTCCTGCTCCTCGGTGTGCCCACCGGCGTTCGCCGGTGCCTCGCGCTCCGACAGCTCGATAGCGAGCTGGAGCGCTTTGGTGTTCTTCCGCCGCAGTCGCCTTCTATTCGTCTCCGTCGTTATCAGGGAGCGCCGGAGGACGGACGCAATGAGCGCGTCCTCGGGATCGAAGGGCGCGCGCGAGAGTGCCCGCCGCCTCGTCGACGCATCGCCCGTCGCCATGGCCTTCCTCGCACGTTACCGCTTGTGCCGTGCGACCCTCGCCTCCGATTCAGGCGTCCTTGGCCGGGCCGATACCGACCATAGTTGGCCGAATGGGCTGGGCCGGGCCGGCATGGCCCGACCCACATTAATCGTGCCTAGCACGGCCCGGACCGCCATGGCACGATTATTAGTCAGGCCGTGTTGTGCCGGCCCACATTCTTCCCCTCCGGCCCAAGCACGGCTGTCGGTGTCAAAACCGGCGGATCTCGGGTAGGGGGTCCCGAACTGTGTGTCTAAGGATCGATGGTAACAGGAGACAGGGGACACGATGTTTATCCAGGTTCGGGCCCTCTTGATGGAGGTAAAACCCTACTTCCTGCTCTTGTTTATATTGATGGAGTATCAAGTACAGAGTTGATCTACCTTGAGATCATATGTTGTGGTCTAAACCCCACAGGTATGATGAGTAATGTCATCATAATCTACCAACTAGCCTGGCCTCGGCTTATATAATGTACAAGAGTCCTAGGATAACAAGAGTCCTAGTCGAATACGTCAGTGGAGAGGAGTCCTTGTCTTGATCACCAAGTTTTGTGGAATCTTCCTCGTATATGTCATCGGCTATCCGAAATGGCCCATGAGTAAACGGCCATGGGGGTCCTCGGTCTAATCCAACTAATCGGGAGACGATGTGATGAGTACCCCCTAGTCCAGGACACCGTCAGTAGCCCCTTGAACCGGTCTTCAAGTTGGGGACACTCCTCGGTTCTTCCGAACTGTTCTTCGTCTTCGGTTGTCGGTCTTGAAAACTGGTTCAACAAATCTTCCCATCTTCTATCTTGAGGATTGCCGAGCTAAATATGAAAATCTCACACGTCGGGTATCCGAGGAGCCCTTTAAGTCTTCGACCTTTATCAATGCCTTGTTATTTTTATGCCACACCTCGGGTTTCAAGTTGTTCCCGGGCGGCAGTGTCCTCTTGCGTCCGAGCTCCAACGCCGAACTATATTCGAGGTATCTTTTGTAGACGAGCACCAACGCCGGGCCGCTTCCGAGCTCCAACGCCGGAATGTATCCAAGCTCCAACCCGGACTATGTCCAAGCTCCAACGTCGGACTATATCCGAGCTCCAATGCCGGACTATATCCGAGGTGTCATAGATCACCTTGGTTCAAAAAAGTTGAAGGAGTTTAGCCGAGCTTAATGCTGAAAATGCTCTCTATGGAACCAGCCACTTGCATCCGAGCTTTATGCCGGACTGCTTCCGAGGTGGTGCACCACCCCGACTGCGGGCCGATTTTTTGTCAATATTTTTGATTGGTGCAATTTATTCCCTGCCGAGATATATAGCCTGTAGCCCTCAAGGTGTGTATCGCTCTAAAACCCGAGATGCACCTAAAGGATGACATAAGACCACTGATCCCAGTAGCCCCTGAGACTCAGGTTGATTCACAAAATCGGCCTGAGGATCAACTCCTAGCTCGGCGGAATATTTCGGGACACAAAAAGCGGTGTGCAAATTCCTCGAGACTCAGGTTGGGTGCGACCGACCAACCTGAGGATCATAATCTCCTCGAAAGCTATATTGCACTTTAAATTTTCTGCATTGGATTGTCAATGCAGTAGCCCCTGAGACACTGGCCGGGTGGCAACACCAGATCAGCGGATCGATACGCCCCTTTCAATATTAGTGAATGATAAGCCCGAAGCCCAGTAGCCCCCGAGCGTTAATGTGGGCACGGGTGGCCGAATTAAGGATCGATATCCAGAGTAAAACCACAAATTATGTGTAATGATTCTACATATCCGAGTACTTTACATCACTAATGCCTGGATCCGCATTGTACAAAACTTTGTTGACCGACCATCGGCTTCAACCTCCTCGGCCAGAAGCCGGGGAGTGTTTGTCCTACTTTATTAAAGCCGTTATAAGGGTAAATATTTATGGAAAACAAGGCTATCCGGCCATACAGTTTTATAAACAAAGGTACGCGGAGAGATATGTTATATTACTTAATGTAAGAAACATCTTCCAAGGAAAATAGTCCCGCTATCGGTTCCTTTCTTTGGGTCGTCATGCTTATCATGATCATGAAACCCCACCTCCGATCAATGTGGGAGGAAAATATTGAGGATTTAGTTCGGGAAAAGTTCCCAAACTCTGTGGTATTAATGAACCAATTTTTTTTACTTCCGTCGTTGTCGACCAATGTGATCCTTTAAGATCGCTAGCTTTCGGCTTCACCCAGTCTAAGGTACTAACTCGGATGACCCGGTAGTAACAATCACAGAGGTGCTCCCTTTACCGCCTAGCCGAACAATTAGGAATGTAGGGTTAAGCACAGGAGCCAGGCAACCCAGCTTGGCAAAAATCTTAAGTCAAATTGATGCATATTTATGGCTTTATAACGATGATTATGGAAGGTAGCCCTTGTATATGAAATACAAATGACGATGATATGTTTATTTTGACTCCGTTGCGACCATTTATTAGTTGAAAGTGGCCCATCGTCGGCTTCTACCCCTTTGTAGATACTACGCAGGGTGTCTCCGCAATAACAAGACAACCCTTAGCCGACGTCTCGGTGCCCAAAGGCGGTTGTGTTAGCGGAAACGAGGAAATCAGATATGCGGGCTTTATAACTTTCACTTAGTCATAGGAGCTTTAAACTGGGGAAGCTAGCTATGAGCCCCCGGTTAGTGTTCGGCGACATCTAGGTCAAGCCGTAAACACTTCGGCCAATGTTATGAATGGCCCGTCATTTAACACAGTCATTGAATCGCTGACCAGTTTACGCTTATTGTGACAGTCAGTTTTCGGCTTTCTCCACTGAGGTGCTTAACCATGTGAGCTGGAAGCACAATCGCAGTGGTTCTCCCTTTGCACACCTAGCCGAACAAAG